ATCTATCACAATTTTGCTCTTCAATTATAATAGGAAATTCATTTGTGTGGAAATTCATCCGTGACTATCACGCCATCCGCAAAACAATCAGAACCATAAGCATACACCAAAAAAAAGAGATCAATCCAAGATTTATTGTGCAGAAAATGTCCTTAAACTGGCTTATGTGCCAGTTATGCACAGCGGATTTGAGCAGATGACAATTCCGCAGGCAAGTGTTGCCATGACTTTGATATTATAACGACCAGCGTCACAGCAACGTATTTTATGCGACTACCAACTCCTTTGTAGCACGAAAAGTCTGGAAAGTCGAGCTTTGATAAAGAGTTGAAGGGATGAGGCAGGGCGCATGTGATAGCGACAGGATGTCTCTTCCTCCCGAAAAAAAACCCAAATGGTATTTATTAACTTTCTGTTGCAGCAACAAGTTTTAAAATTTGAATGAAACATTCTGTATTGCTGGAACAAGAACAGACCCGGCGCGGAGGAATTGGGAGACATAACGGAAGCTGGCTGCTGTTGGAAAGCATTCTGCGCAAAAGGATTCGTTGGATCCAGAACCACCGGCTGTGATGTGGCACTTGCTGGAGCCATTCCGTATGCCGTTGTAACTGTCACTGTTCCCGCTGGCATCGGGTCGAAGAGGCCTAGAAGGTCGTCGCTTGGCTTTACTGGCAAAGATCGAGCAGAGCCGGTGCCAGCTGGCGCCTGGGCTGCTGGCGCTGCGAATGGATTGAGCGAATGTGGGGCTGCCGCATCCGTCGCTGTCGAGCCAGCTGCTGCTGCCGCTGCTGCTTGTCGCTTTCGTTGTTCCTGTAATAAAATTATTAACCATAATATACGGATATAAAATTATACCAAAAAAAAAAAAAAAATAGATGAACAGGAGTGTTTCGGTCCATCAAGTCATAGGCATAACTATCGCAGCTTCAGATCATACGCATTAAATAAAAGGGAAGAGCGTATCAAAGAATGGGAGCAATTAAATCTATTTGCAGCAAAATGTTGCATGCTTGTAGTCAGTAAATGTGATAAAACACAGAGGAGTTCCTTTTTTTTTCGCCACGGTGGTTTTTTTAACCTAATCGATCGAAGATAAAACGCAGTTTATTAGTAAGAAAGTTGTGAGATTTGGTGCTCCAAGCTGATTGATGTG